TATGATGCTTGTTGGAGACGATCCTTGGCAGTAAGATTTTACTTCTTTTCCATCTTCAATACGTCAATGTATATATATATATGTGCTGACACAATAATTTATTCACAGGGAGTTTTGCGGCATGGTTCGTAAAATCTCGATATACACAAAAGAGGAAGTAAGGAAGATGAACCCGGGAACTCTAAGCTGTAGGAGCGAAGAAGAAGCAGTTGTTGGGGAAGGATCAGATGCAAAGGACGCCAAGTCTGCATCAAATCCTTCACTGTCCAGCGCTGGACACTCTTAAACAAAAAAATCCACACCCTTTTGCTACAAGCCGAGGTATGTATAACATTCTGAGTAAATAGCAGGACAGATCAGTAGTGAGACAAGGCAACATAGAACCAAGTTTATTCATTACCATACAAATGATATATGGTGTTTTTGTAACGCAGGGGAAGAGAGGTAGGAGCATAATTCAAGAATAGTTTGAAGGTGGAGACTGGAGAGTAGAAAAGGGATTATGGTTGGAGAGGGAGTGGGTTAAGTAATGATATTAAAAATGCAATTTTTGAAGTATTTTGTTGGGCACTTAGGTTATTAGCATCTTCCATCATCTTATAATCTAATAATATAAATATATATTATAAAGTAAGCAAAAGGGGTTAGAGGTATTATATGGTAGAATATGGAAAGGGTATTTTACAAGTAGAAAAGATGGTGTGGAGTTGTAGATGGAGGCTGGGTTTCGGTTCTTTGCGTATATGTGATTTCTTTTTCTTTCATCAAATGATCGCTTGAAAGTCTTATTATTGTTTATATATTAATCTTAATGCACATAAGTTTTTAAGATTTTACCACCTTCGAAATAATATTCCAAACCATCCTCTCCACCTGTTAAATAGTATTAAAAGTTTGTATTAAAAGTTGAAAATCATATTAATTTTCTAACAAAAAAATTATCTATAAGGACACAATACAGAACCTCCTTAACGGTAAAGATAAAAGTACCCTCACCGCACCTATGTCTAATCTGAAAAGATAGTATTGAACTCGATCGGTCAAATATTCGAACATGATTAAATTTTTGATATTTTGAAACCACAACTGAACCAAAATATTATGGATATCCAAATATATTTGAATTAGATTTTTATTTTTGATTATATTAATTAGTTTTAGATTTAATATCCAAAGTATATGCAAAATTTATAAGATATTGTGAAATTGCCTAAATATTTAAAAATATATACAAATAATAAAAATAAACATCTTAAGTAGCTAAATAATACTCAAACACCAAAAATAATTAAAAAGTATATTGATTATTCATCAAAATATTCAAGCCAAACCAATTTTTATGTTAAATTTATATATTTTGGTTTACAATATTCAAATTTATATGTTATATGTTAATTTATATTAGAATTTGGGAAAGTTAAAGTATATACTCTGTATGTGAGTCATGAGAACACCAATCCATTCTATTATACTTTATTCTTTTGATTGTCTGTTGATTCTTCTTTTGGTTTGTTTTTTTTTTAAGATGAGATGCCCCCAAAGGTTTTAGGTTTCGTCATCACTTTACGCAATGGCGGTCCCGTCATCCGTACAAATGCCAGGAAGATCTATGTTCACCTTCCACATCTTGTGACACTCAGAGATGGCATCCCACTTCTCATTCACATACTTCGCTTTGTTGAGTTCTACCAAGAGGGTAGAATTGTGATTGGGTGTGGGCGTATGGTTTACTTTGCAGATCGTCCCCCTGTCTATGCCCATTATGGTGCCGAGATCGTTGCTCCGGTCGGAGGTCTGGTCATCTTCCTTGGCTGAAGATTCGTCGGTTGATAACACCCCACTAACTCTAGCGTTTATAATAAATATTATATAGTTTTTTACTTCAGGAAAACTGAAGTTATTATAGCACATAGTGCCACAGATGTGTTTCCTTTTAACTATGATTTTCTAGTTTGTGTAATCTTCCCTATTTCGAAGTTATTAGCAATTTTCTAGTTTGTGTAATCTTCGAAGTAGTTATTAGCAGCACAATGTGCCACAGATAAGCTGGAGTTTGTTAGATGAGGTTGATATTATTATTTCGCCTAAACAAGAAACATAGTATTGACCGTGCAGTTATGGTGGAATGGAAGAGTGAACTTAGAAAGGTATTAAGTGTCCCAAATTCAAAATATACCAATCCTTTGTGACTAGGTGGTATTGAATGAATATCTAACTCCCACGTAGAATAACTGAGGTTGCGTATCACTGGTTTGCTGGCTCCCAAGAAATTAGTTAGGCTATAAAAAATTATAGAACAATTAAGAAAAATATCTAAAAGATTTTTTCCGTTATCTTCTTCATCTATTTTTTTGATGTTTTTTGGGGAAGCTTGTTCATCAATAGTTTAAAGTCTTCTTATTCATCCATAAGCTCTAGCTATATAGGTGAAGAGTCTTCTCCCTCGTTAATCACCCTGGAAGAGAAAGATTCAATTGATTCAGTGAATCTTTTGACACTTTCAAGAGATAAGTTTTTTTAGAGAGAGACTGGTTAAACCATCCATAAAAGCTAAGGAGATGAATATGCAGTTTATGTAATATATAGAAAGGAAACTAAGGTGGACAAGACTATAAGGATCCCTTTTGGTTAACATAATATCATGGAATAGTGGCCAAGAGAAGCTAACTCAGAGAGTGATTTTACACTTACGAACTCTTTTGGTTAACATAATATCATCAGCTCTAGGTTTTTGTTAGACTCCCTTTGGAACCACCAAATCCACAAGCAGAGGATTGGGACTTGGGTACAATGCTAAGTTGAGTTCAAGCACAGACTTGGCCACCAAACCTCCTATTCTACATAGAGCCCAACACAGATACATGTGACTCACATGATGTGAGCTATATAGAGTTTTTACCAACATTAATGAGAACTACATAAAATCTTCACCGTTTCATTTCTATTAATTTGATAAAATATCTATATAGTAAAAATATTTATAGTTATTTTTAAATATTTAGTCTCTATTTGACATAACATTTTGTGAAAATTTTCAAATAAATACTAACATATAATAACACTAGTGTTGTTGATAGTTAAAAGTGTGTGAATAGAGTCGGTCGTGGAGAAAAGAGACTACTTATAAAAAGCAGTATATCTATCTTCTTATTTGTAAAGTTGCACCAAAATAAGAATTGATGTTGATCTTATTCTATATATATTTTCTAAGTAATACACGTTTGGAAACAAATCTTGATATATACTTTCTTACCATCTTCACAAGTTTAGATGGGATGGGATCAAATCTGGATTGGATAGGCTGGAGTTTTTTATGAGGTTGATATCTACCAAACATGGTTGATCCTAAAATTATGGGGGTTTATGGTTATTACTGTGTAAAAAACTTTTTTGGGAGCTAATAAATTTGTTTGGAAACATATATTTCTTTAAAAAAATTAAAAGCTTGTAGCGAATGTTTCACTGATCATGGACCAACCTTACCTCAAAAAAAGAAACATAGGTCAATCAAATCACGTCTGAAACTTCTGTCCGGGGTAAAGCAGCAGGCCCATCTCTAACCCATAAGAATTTGGTGTGGGTGTGTTCAGTGTTCACACACTCACACTAGTGTCTTTATATATCAGAGGTCTCTTCACAATTCTTCAACCACCACAAGATAATCATGAAGATGATCAAACTCCTATCTAGTTCTCTTCACTTGTTTCTTCTGCTCTCAGTTTTCATTTTCAATGGTGTTTACACCATATGTTCATCAAGAAACATGCTTCAGGCCAAAAAAGTTACATGTCCATTGAACTTTCAGTTTATGAACTACACAATCATACTAAGCCGATGCAAAGGTCCCTCTTACCCACGCCACGAATGTTGTGCTGCCTTCAAGAAGTTTGCATGTCCGTACAAGCAATACGTTAACGACGTGAGCACCGATTGTCTGGCCCTCATGCTCAGCAACATCAGACTCTATGGTAGATACCCGGTGGGAATGTTTGGCAACACCTGCCTACAAGGCAGACAACATGTCGAGTGCCCATAAACCGGGTGGTCCTAATGTTCTTCATATATGTCATGTTTTAAAACTGTTATAAATATAAGATTGACATGCATAAGCATAGATTTGACCACTAAACCTTCTCCTTTACACAGTTCCCAACACAGATACATGTAAGCTATACAGATTCTTACAAACATTAATGAGAGCTATATAAAATCTTCACCGTTATTGATTTGATAAAATAGCTATATAGTAGAAAATATTTAAAGTTATTTTCAAATATTTACTCTCTATTTGACATAACATTTTTTGAAAAAAAAATAAAAATAAATACTAAACTATTTTTTTTTAGTTAAGAAACATGTAATAACATTAGTGTTGTGGATATTTCTCTTTTTTTTGTATTGGAGAAACAATATTCCTTGTAAAATATTAAAAAAGAAAAAATTCTTAATAAGATTTGATTATTTTTTTTTTGTTTACTAAAGATATCCATGAAAATTAACATGAAGACAGAGACATAAAAAAGTTAAATTTTCATAATAATATTATAAAAAATATTCTAGCCGTTATTACTATATGGATTACTAATTTCTCTTAATATTTAACCGACTTAGAATATTATTATGATTTGTAACTAAAAAAAAGAAAAGTTTTGACAAAACACTTCAAAAGTCAAAGGTCAAACACACTCCGAATTAAAAACTGACAGAGACACACAGAAACAGAGATTGACTTTGAGAGAAGAAGAGGGGAGGAGGAAAGTTTCCTCCTTTCTTGTCCCAATCCAACTTTTACTTATTTTGGCTTTTTACGTTGCCGCGTGATTACTAATCTCGTCGTCCTTATCAACACTCTCATTTTTCCTTCGAAATTTCCTTACTGGGATTTTTCTTCTGTTTTTTTCTCTGTTTCATACGTGTGAGATTGGTTACTTAAACGTGTTCCCATGAGCATTAAGAAAGAGGCAGGGGGGAGAGTAAAGTAGACTCCTTTGGGGATGGTGATGGAGAATGGGCATGAGGAGATACTTGCTGAGAGATTTTCTCAAGTGGGTATTGAAGATTCATCTCTCTTGCAAGAGAGAGACTTTAAAAATGATAACTTGTTGCAGATCATCAAAGCTGTTGAAGCTGCTGAAACCACCATCAAGCAGCAGGTTTGGTCTTTCTTTCTCTCTATATATATATCTATAGTTCTGTGTAAATCTCTGTATTGTCATGTCTGATTTATTAGCGTTGGGGGAGAGAATAAGCAATGTTCACGTGGTTAGGCGCTTTATAGAGGCTTGAAGAAACAAGTTTGTTAGACAATATTTTTTTTAAAATTCGGTCTAGACATTAAAAAAAAAAATAGGCATAAACCTCCACCTAGACAATAAATAATCTATAAAGCGCCTAAAAATGACAACATGTCTGATTTGTTACTGCACGCTGATGGTTCAATCTAAGACAGTGTTTTTTTTTGTCTAAGCAGGTAAGATGAGAATAGCCGTTTAAAGGCTGAACTTGAGATAAGTACTCTGGAGCTTGCTAAATATGTAAGTGTATTTTGGTTTAAAGAACAAGCATTTCTCTAGTTTTGTGGTTTTTTCATGCTAGTTTTGCTTTTTGTTCTGTATCTTTTCCTAGAAACCAGATGAATCCTTGCTACAAACATCTAATCTTGGAGATCACTCAAATACCACTACTGTCTCTCGCTTGGTTCACCAGCCAGTGGAACATGAGAAGACTGTGATCAAAGCTTCAGATGTTGATTCATTAGGCATTGTGGTTGTTCACTCCCATTTGAATTCTAATGGCGAAAAATCTACTGTGAGTGATCGTTTTGAAAGCTCATCTGAGCAAAATATGGTTAATGGCTCCTTGTCAAAGGAGCTATAAGTGGTGCTAGTCCCTCTCAGTTTCATTTTTCACCTATAGCATCATCATCTCTTGTGAGGTACTGAAAAATTAAACTACCACTTTGAAATGTGCTGAATTTACTTGTAGATTTTATGGTAATGTGTAATTCTCACGATCCGGTTTCTGATAGAACCCAGTTGGAAGGAGCGAATGTCACACAATTTAATTCATCTACTCATCTTATGCCGGTTGGAGAAGTAAATGATTCAGGCAATGTGTGGAAGCAGGTCTCTATCACACTTCCTACGTCTTCTTTTTTTTTTTGGTGTAATGAAAATTATTAGCCTGACTATGTACCTATCTATGCAGGACCTGATTCACAAGGTTCACAAAAAAATTTGCAGTTGAAGAGATATCTTACTAACTGTTCTGTTAAGGTTAGTCCTGCAGTTATCTTAACGTTGGTTCATCCCTTGAACTCGTTTTTTTGATTTTATGTGAAAGCATCTGACTAACATTTTAGGTTTCATTTTATGTGGAAGTAAAATACTTATAACTTACGTGACATTCAACGGCGGGCTACTTTGGAAGGCTACGTTCCATGACCTTCAACTAGCTAATCATACTACACATCATAACCTGTTAAGGTACATTTAATTTTCTAGCAATAACATATACAACTATATTCAATATCTTCCACAAATAGTCTTGGCTGATATAGACACAAACTAACTAAAAGAAAAAACAAGAAAAACTCATAATAATCAATGATAATGATATATATGACTCAGAGGAATACTCATTACGTTTCACAAATACAGAAATTTTGGAAAAGAAAAAATTCGCTCCAAAAAATACACTTTCTAATACGAATTTTAAATTTATTTCTTTAATTACTATTAAAATTTAAGATCATTGATTAAAATAATTACTATTAAAATAGTTACTTTGTAAAAAACTAATGGTAAAATGTTATTTTTGGTATTGTCAAAATTGTTTCAGAGTGTGGGAAAAACCTAAAATTTCCATATTCATGATACGGGAATATTAGTTAAAAAGTGGCATAAATGTATAATTTCTTTAAGTGACTCACCACGGCTGACCTGCACCACAAGAGATCAAGTCAACACAACACAACACAACACAAAACCTCCTTAATTGTTAAGACAAAAGTACCCTCATCTATGTCACCAATATAAAAAAACCCCACTCGAGCGCATGTCAAATACACAATTTATACTCAAAAATTGATAGAAAATTCCAACAGTTTTATATAACTAAAAGACATGGGAGGTTCAAGAACAGCTTCTTCGGACATCACTGCTTGGTGTTCTGCTGTCGTGTTGCTGTCTTTAATACTTTTGCTATCCGTTAGAGAGAACAATGCTTCTAATGATTCGGTCAGAGGATCTCAGCTCTCAGAGAAGCCTTGTGAAGAGATATACGTCGTCGGAGAAGGAGAAACGCTTCACACCATCGGCGATAAATGCGGCGACCCGTTTATAGTTGAGAGGAACCCGCATATCCATGACCCGGATGATGTCTTCCCGGGTCTTGTTCTCAGGATCGCACCTTTTTACTTCTCTAGAAGAGTTTAATATATATTAAAAACGTTTTTGTTTCTTTTAAGTTTTGTTTGAGTCATACGTTTCCCTGTGTAAGTATGTATGTATATACTAAAGGAATTTAAATCAAATACAGAGATTTGGAAGAAACAGAGCAAAGAACAGAGTATACTATGTGTTTGCTTGTTCATGCTATAAGGACTTGTATGATCATTTACAAACGTTTTGGGTGTAGATGACATTAGTGATAAATTTGAGGCTTTGGATTATAGAAATTCAATAAAAGAAATTGTTATATGGGCTTATTCTGGGTCGAGCCCATTGAGAAATTTTGGTATGGATTTCAAATTTTCAGTTTACTATTAAAAACAATACCCAAATTCATTTTCGATTTTGAAGTCAGAAAGCTTATTGTTCATGAGATGTTTGGGTAGTTTTTTTCTATTTGTTCGTGAGATATTTCTAAGTTACTTCGGATTGAAAATGCTTTAAAATTAAAAAAAATGAGATGTGGGATACAATCATATATCGATCACTTCCTTATATATAGTATGTATGTAAATCGAAAACCATAAGCATAGGATGTCTCATGCGTAGAACGCAAGGAACATGAGTAGCAACTACACGGGAGACCAAGCAAATCACTACACAACCTGAAAAACAAGAATTTATCAAAAAAAAAAAAAAAACCCTGAAAAACAAGAAGAATAAGATATAAATGAATCTGTAACGAGTCAGTCAAATGACTCACAACGTTGGCTCTTCATAAAAGCATAAATGAAGAGATCACATTCTTGTCGAAACGATCCGTTTTAGTCTGCTGGATATTCATGGAATAACCCCTTCAAAAAGGATATGCCATCATCAGTTTTTGATTCCAATATTTCCACATTCTCATCACTCTTCATAATTATCTTCAGACAAAGAGAAAGCATAGATTCTTTTCTTCTTCAAGGAAAAAAAAAACATTTTAGTACTCGCCGCATTATAACCATGAACATGTTACATGTAACATGTGTGTGTGTGTGTGTGAAAGTGTATACATATGGAGTAAAAACCCTTCATTGGTCAAAAACTCATCACCTTGAATGGCTTCATTATGAAGCACAAGACATGAGAAGAAGCATCATCATCAAAAGGCAACACTTCGAGAAAAGGAAAATGGAGAAGGATATCCATGGAATAACCCATCAAAAGCATCTCTTCTATTCTCTCAATCACTCATATGTCAAAAAGCCACCATTATTTTATTTTTAAAAATTATATAGATATATATATACTGAGCCCATGAGACCATGAGTAAACCAAGCAACCTTCCCCTCATAGCACAAAAATAAGAAGAAGAAACCACAATGGAGCTAGGAGGAGAAAGTTAACAATAAGAGGAGCAGTAATAGGGCATCTTTCTATTGGCACGTGACTGGTAAATTTGCTCTTTTTACGTGTGTGTTCATGGCAATTTTTTGGCTCTATCACTTGCCAAAGGAGAGTTGCCCTGTCACTGCTTCCGCTTAAAACACAATCTACAAACCTGTTTCAACATGTCCAAGAACTGAGACTGAGATACATGTAACGAGTAAGATTTCAGCTTACTCATTTTCCTTTTGCTTCTTATGAGTAATACAACAGCCTTTTCAAAAAAAAAAAAAAACGCTATGGAACATTTCCTAATCTTGATTAGTGAGGTTTTTAAAAGTATAACAAATCTGTATACATGATTGATTGTTACAGATGGTTTACCTCTCCAGCTACATAATTGTGAGCATTTTCCTATTTTAGTGGCACATTGCATATTTGTTCACATAAATATTCCATTTCATTAACTATCTAAAACCATTATATTCTCACATATTAATAAACAATAACAAGTCTTTTTTTTTTTTTGAACAACAATAACAAGTCATATATTCATGCATTCGATGCATATATTGTGAATATTTACAGATAGCATGCGTCCATTATCTCCTCCATTGATGCGCTCATGCAAATGCAAGCGATGAGTCAGCTCTGGTTCTCTTGTTCCCTCCTATTCTTTGTTTGGTTGACAAATTGGTTTGAACATGATCTTTGGTATGTAATATGGGCTAAATTAGACACCATGGGCAAGACCCAAACCACTGGGCTTATTTTGTGTTCTTATGTTATTCAATAGAAAGCCTTTGTTGTAAAAAAAAACTTATCGAGGAAAACAAAGGAACAATTATTTATTGCTCCAAGTGTGTGATTTCAGTAAGGAACAAGTTGTCGAACAGGTGAAACCAATAAGTGCAAGACACGTGACGAAGCACTGACAATTGTACGATGATGTCGATGGCTATTTTGATACTGATTCTTTTTGGCGTGCTCCTCCTCCTTTCGATACTGTTCTTTCTCTTTACTAATACTGTCCTTTGATTAATAATAAAAGTTTGGCAAAATGTACTATTTTTTCGGTGTAAAATGATATGATCAGTTCATTAGGAACTCGTCACAATGCTATTCCCCACACAGTCACACCATGGTCAAGAATATCGTTTTCGTTTCAATATTTAATAAAACGTAATCATGTACAAGTTAATGTCAAACGAATAAAGTTTTTATGGAAGATCTGAGTTGATTTCTTTGGTGTTTCATTTGCATACATATCCACCTTCCTATATATGAATTCATATATTTTATATTGAATTCGTTAGTGTAGATGTCTGTGATATAGGGGGTTGTGCATTCTTAATAACTCACCAATTTAAAAGCAATTCACCCATTTTAGTATCTTAGAGTAAAGCAAAAAGAATTCACGTCGAGTATCCATATTTTTAGGGGTCCTGCAACACAAAAAATATAGGATTAAAAGACTTAGAGCACCATTATCCTAAAACTCAAAAAATGTATTTTAATTGTTTTTGTGGTTAAAAAAAATTAAAAAACAATAAATTGTAGATCATATTATGTCAGTGGAACTCACAAATAATTGAAGCAACAACAAAAATAAAACGCTTATTTAGCATCGAAAAGCGTCTTTGTTTGGTGTTTTGGTAAGCTCGTAAGGGCTATGCACCCAATAATTCCATACGATAAGGGTGCTCATATGTCCAAAGGTGCTGCAAGCAAATTAATAATGTCTACTTTAAAGAGAATGGCATTGATTTTTAAAACCTAGCAGAAGTAATATAATTAACTAAGGTTTTTAACCGATGGGATTAGCTCTTTGTCTAGGCAAGAATGCACATGCAACAATTAAATATGTAAGGAATCATATATATATATATATGTATTCGTACGAATTCTTAAAGTCCAGTAAACTTCTTAATTAAGTAAATCTCGTTAGTGTGCTTTGTTCTCTAGTAACCACGACATAAAAGTTTAAACACAAACAATTATTTTTATTTATTTATATAATATTGCTCACAATTCCTCATCCTCTCTCAAAATTTTTATGTACTAATCAGTGGAAACTTTAAGATATGCGTCTTTCTTTCCTAGTATTTTGCCAAAACGGGGTAAATAATGTTGTTTTTCTCTGTCCACAAGGCACAAGCTGTATGGATCTTTCCTAATGCTTAATATAATCTATATTTTAATAGATTAGATTTCGTACGGCCATTATTCTAATGTAACATTTTGAACCTGCTAGTATTGTTTTTTTTATTTATTTTTTAAAAGTTGAAATACCACATTTTTTTTTTTTTTTTTTTTTTTTTGGCACCACAACAATAATTGCTATTATTATTATTATCTCTTTACTTCCGCCATTTCTTTTTAGTCGCAGAATATTGTTGATCATTTTAGTTTTGAACCTGCTAGGATCGTCTTTTTCAATTATGTTTCAAAAGTTGAAATACCACAATTGTTTTTTTTTTTTTTTTGGCACCACAACAATAATTGCTATTATTATTATTATTATTATCTCTTTACTTCCACCATTTCTTTTAGTCGCGTAATATTGTTGATCATTTTAGTTTATATAAGTAGATATTCCTAATATAAAGTTTTAAAATATTTCGTAAGTTCCTTAGAAGACATGAATATTAAACGGTATTAAATATTTTAATAATCTAATTATAGATTTATTTGAACATTAATTTGCTGCTGGCAAAAATATGAATCATTTAAAGAAAATCTGGCAGTTTTTTGTGTGTCATGCATCCAATTATCCTGCTATGTGGTGAGGAGAATATATGGACAGAATATAGATATATTTTATACATAAATTTATTATTATCAAGAATACAAATAAAAATAAGAATAACATCAATTTATTGTGCCCCATGCCAAAAAGGAAAATAAATAAAACATTAAGAAACTTGCCCTTTCCCTTCCTCACAGACCATTCTAGGGCTCCTAAAAATCCCCATTTACTTTTTTCTCTTTCCATTTTTGTCGAATTTCAGCTCTTTCTTCTCTTCATCAACTTTGATTCTCCTTTGAATCTATCAACAAATCTCTCACAATGATCATTTCCTAATAAATTCTTGATTTAAACTTATAATTTTCTTCACTACTAGCTTACCTCTTCTTTAGTTTCTGCCGACACATACACCTTCTCTTGGCTGAGATCTCTCTCTCTCTCTCTTTTACGACTCTGGTCATGTTAACCGGTCACTGGCTGGTTTTTTTTTTTTTTTTTTTTGAACAAACCTTTGATTCATAAAGATAGAAACTCAAACAGATCTTGTGGCCAAACATACAAAAAGTCAAAAGAGGAAAAATGGTGAGAGGAAAGATAGAGATGAAAAAAGTAGAAAACGCGACGAGTAGACAAGTGACTTTCTCAAAAAGAAGAAATGGTTTGTTGAAGAAAGCTTATGAGCTCTCCGTACTCTGCGATGCTCAAGTCTCTCTCATCGTCTTCTCTGAGAGAGGAAGGCTTTACGAATTCTCTAGCTCTGAGTATGCTTCTTTAATTTCTTCTCAATTCTTTAATTTACTTTTCTTCTACTGTTTTGTACTATTATTTTGTCAATTAGACATGTGTCCTGGTCTGAATTTTTCTGAATCGCAATTGACTAAAGCAACTATCCTAGATTTTGTTACTTGATGAGATTAGATCCTTGTCTGAATCCTAAAGATTTCTTTCTTTTCTCTCTGCCCCTATTAATACAGTTTCATATTTTCTATATTCAAATATTCACTTGTTGAGGAATCTAGATAAAAATCTTTTTACCTGAACTTTTCATGTGTGTGTCTAGGGTTTCAAAGTTTTCTTGAAAGTGTGAACATAAAACAACATAGGAACTAGCTTTAAAAGGGAATCAGAGTAGAATTTAGATGATTATTTAGTGTGATCCGTACCAACTTGCACAATTCTTTTACCTATATTTTTATTGATAATGAAAATAAGTTTTACTTTTTCTTTCCCCTAGTTAGGTTTGTGTACTATCGTTTTTTTGGTTTTCGTTATGTCCTTATTGAGGCTCCACTTTTGTAGGCAGACTAATTATGTGTGCTCTTCTCCATTTGATTAAGGTGTTCAGTGCAAATGTTTTCTCTGTCTATATATATAAATAGCATGTATTTTGGAGTAATACTTGATAATATATTCGAGAAGAAACCAATCAAAGCTTGTGATGTAACCAAAGATAGATCGAAATAGATAACGTTGTGAATATTTTTTATGTTAGTATATTTTGTTAATTAGAGTTTTGCATATGAACTATTCTGGTTCTATTATTATTTGATTTTTTAAAAATGCAAATAATTAATGTATAATTAATAAACAGAGACATTATAAGAAGATTCATGATGAATTTATATGGCATGGGTTTAATAGTTACCTATATATAGAGTATTATTAACCAACAGCCAAAAGGAATTGTTGTAGTACAACTTGTGAGAGATATGGTGTTCGGTGAATCTGTACTAAAAAATCAATATTGAGCTATAGATTTTTAGGTTTATTTTTAAATTTCAGATCTAGTAGATTGAATCAGAGATTAAAGATAGAAGCAACGAACATATATGTACATGAATTCCAATTTTCTTAGAGA